AACTTCCGATCTCTTTAGGCAAAGACGGCTAAAGTGGTGGTTGTACTAGAACTTTTCCCCTGATCTTATGGGAACGAAGTCCACTGAAGCCGCTCAGGGTTTTAACAATTGGGTGAAATAAATAAGTGTGAATCGTTGGTCAAGCCTGTAAGATATGTCGAAAATGCGAAAGTCTTTTCTAGAGAAGGTAGTGAATTTAAACTTACTTGGTAAAAGCATATAATAAATGACTAAATAGAGTAAATGACAGTGTTTCGACCAGTCGATAAAGCAGCCGTTAGACACGCCTGCACACTGAAGCTCAGAAAAGGCCATGTTCAAGAATAGTAATTGATAATTATCCGAATTTACTTGTTGTCTACTCAAGCATGAAACGTTTACGTCAGGAACACTTTGGTAAAACAATAACAGACATTATATCATAAGTCACGCTCGTGTTCGATCTTTTAAAGTTTGCTTTAGAGTGTCAGTTCATTATCGCAATCTTTGGCATTTGGCAGCAATGAGTGCTAGTCTTGGTAAAATAAATGCTCCAAATGTTTTCAGTCCGCATCTCTTATCAGAGACTGTTATATTATAACTTGGATACAAACAGATGAATCGCCTTCTTCATCTGGTTTTTTAAATTTTTAAATTTTCTCATTTGACGATGGGTTTAATAGAAATCAGAAAAGTTGGGCTAATATAATTATTGTTTCAGTTATTTCACTTTGTTTCTAATGAGTTTATTTTATGGTGGTCAAAGACCTTTTCCCGCTAAAAATGTTCCACAATAGTAGCTTACAAAAATGGTGGACGTCTTCTCTAAGAACCTTAGCAATATATGTAGGCTTGCGCGAAATTTCAGGGATGGGAAATATAACTGATTCATAAAATTGAACTTTAAATTATGCTTCACCCAGTATTTACCGCTAAATTTACAGCTATGTTTACCTCGGACACTTACCTATAACGTAAACTCACCTCAAAACTAAACCTTTGCCTTAACATTAGTCCTTAAAGTAAAGCTAACCTTAAATATAGCCCTAAATCTAACAGTTATTTCCCCGAAAAACCGCTAGAATATTTGGTTACGCTTTAGGCATATTGCCCGAAAGTTTTATAGACTACTGGCCATTAACAGTTTTCTTAACACTGAAGTGTGACCTTATGCGAAACAAGACTTCTGAATTCTGCCGTTCAGGTGTTTCGCCGGTTGAATGCAGCCTACGTTCTCCGAATTATTTGCGCAGTTTTTGCTTTAAAAGTCAAAATTATCACAATTGTGTTATCTTGGACATAATTTTAAACAAATTACAGAGTTATTCCAAATTATTGCTATGCCGCATTCAATAGCGACTGAAGGGTCGCCAGAAGAACAAGGTTTACGTTCTTCAATTTAATTGACCGCCAGTTTGTTTAAAGGGGCTTTTGACACAGTGATGTGATCTATATTTGCAGTTTTTAGTTGCACAAATATCGTAACTGGTAATTTAAGGTTTGTTTTTTAACAAGTATCGAATAGGAAGGTCGTAGGCAAGATGTTAAGTGCCTAGCACACCAGACACATCCACACCGCTTTCTTCGCCAAACTGGTCTTAAAAATATATTTGAGTTTTGGTCTTTTTAAAGTGAGACTTAAGTTTGATTAACAAGTGGAAATGAATAACGTAATATAGGCCTTTGTAATTTGCTGCTTTCAATTCACTGCACGTGTTGATGTTGCATGTTATCGCACGACTTCACTTAAAGGATTGCCAGTTGGGCAATCCAGACTATAATTGCCAAAACAAAGGTTTTCCTAATAATTAGACATTGGTTCTTGTGGCTAGGAAGCATACAAGAATTTAAATAAAAGTCATGCTGACAAATTGCTCACGGCCGTGAAATTTGGTTTAACTTCCGTGGTAAACCAAACACGTCGTTTACTGCAACCTTGTCGTAAGTATTTGTGATTTTTACTTCTTTGTCAATACCACTACATGCTTTCAACGCACTACTTTTTAAGGCGTCCTTTTTGCCTCTCGGTTCTCTATTTTTAATTTTTTGGCATTTAGTTTGGTACTGAATAATAGAAGTTATGATAGCCATCTAGTAAACAGACATTCATCGGTGGAGATGCAGTGGCGCTATTGTGTATTTTATAGCAAATTCAATAACACTGTTGCCAGTTCCGCAAATCGTTCACTTGTAGAATCGTGCAGTTTGTCGGGCGGACAGTTGCTGGCGATAGCAGTTGTTGGTGATTCATTTGCCCCTGACTCATCGACATTCAACGCTGACCGTCGACGTGGCAGCAAGCGACGACGTGGGAGAAAATCTAGAAGCCAGCTGCGCACAGAAGATGGCTAGCAAAATAATAGGCTTGAGATATAATCCAATCCTCCTTATCCTTTTGATATTTGAAAGGTCATCTACAGATACATTTTTTTGCCTTAGACGGCGGCTCCGGTGCACGATGTCTTCGCAGCTGGCCACTGAGTGCCCTCGTTGGTCTCATTCTCGTCCTGCTGGGTGGAGCTGCCTTGGGTGCGGGAGTAATTTATGCCAGAACAAACCTCATCCTTCTGACAGAGGCCAACCACCTGTAAGTTGGCACGTTATCTATATGAAAAATAGCGTGTACACCTCGACTGGTACGGAGTTTTCGACTCCCCCGTTGAGTTTAATTACCCTCGTTTTGTCCATTAAAGCACGAGATACACTTTTAACAAAATGGCGAATTTTCAAGGCCCCGTTAGATATGCGAACGTCTCCTACCCTCTGCTTGGTCAATTTTTTGGGCTCCTTGTGCGAGCGTTCAGTAGAATGCTGCAATATGTGATACCGTTTAACCTTTTCTACCATCCTGTTGACGAGGCCTGAGCAACCTCGATACCGTTCCATTAATTTTAGATATGAACTTTATTTTAAGGCGCATATTATCAGAAACCCACGAGCAGATGCAATGTTCTTTATGAGGAGATGATGTTGCAAAGGCGTGCATTTTTCATTGAAGAACGATTATCTAAATGCGTTAATGTTGCAAAGTAATCACCCATGGATCTGTTGTGGTCACCTTTTTAACCAGTACAGAGTTTTATATACAGCGTAGAATTCATTCCGACGCTTTAAGGTGTTCTTTTTTCTCTTAAGACTTCCTTACGTCGACTATGCAGTCTTTGCAGTGGTCGGGGCTACCGGACTATTCGCAATAATTACCTTCATCGTATGTGCGGTCTCCTCCGGTTGGAATGCAAAGCGCTTCTTTGAGGGATCAAAAAAGGCAGGCTGTGGTCGATGCCTTAACACCACCGTAAGTTCTCTTACACAGACTGGTGCTGCACATTGGTGCCTGCCAGTCTTTAATTGGCATCTTAGAGTTTATGCTAATTCACCACAAACGTTAGCCACATGTCGAACCTTTTAGTTTTTTTCGCCGATGCAACAGTTAAATCAATATACATTAGCAAGCAAAGAGAGGCAAGAACTGTAAAGTAAACTATAAGGTAAACTGGCAATAAATAAATATCCAATGCACTTATCCTCTGTTACTGAACCAATGAAAATTCAAATGAGGCTCAGCTTTGGCGTTCCCTCGTGCCTGCTTTGAGTACATCAAACTAGCAGTTTGAAGGCGCTTCTGGGTTGGCTGCCCGTGGTGCAGTAGGGCGAAAGTCATCCGGAAGGATTACGGGAATACGATTCAGATGTGCACTTCAAAATAAACATAAAAAACTTGTTATTCTATTGTTAACTCTTCGGTTGTTTTCGTTTTAAAAACACGTAAATGGATTCCGATAGAGTGCTTTTTGACACTAATTAATGCGCCAGTCGCAAGTTTAAAAAATATCTTGTTGAGCAGCCAAGTCCATAATGTTTGATAATTGCAAATCAACGGCAAAGGCTTGGAAGTACGCTACCTTAAACTGTGGTTCCTTTTATATCGAAACATTCCATCTAGTCTTTTCCAATCTGCAATAACATAGAAATATTTTTGTTAGCAATGCGGGCGGGCATGGAGACTGCTTGGAAACAAATGCGATTTTATAAATAAGTGTCTGGCATGGCCTCTTTATATTTAAATTACCGAAACCTCCTTACTGTCAATGGCAGGGTGAGATACCCACGATTATTGGTGGGATTGGCTATACTAGTTGAGGAGAAAATTTTCCCCGTCCTACGAGATAGTTTATATCCTCGAAGTGAGCCTGGCTGCCCAGACATAATTTGGAACTGACTGGAATGAAAAATTGGATTGAATGAACAGACCGAATTAGTTGCGCCTAAACGTTTGTCATATATACTACAGTTCCGCCATCAAGGTCGATTATTTCCATAAGGGATGTGGATATGATCACAAACTTTTAAACGAATTGACTTAAGGCCAGTTATGCAAGGCAAACGAATAGGAGATTTTCCCCACAGTAATCGAACTGTCTTCTGTCTAAGGGGCAAGTGAATGGGCCAGTGCGCATTGTAACAGTTTCAAGTCACTGTGGGATGCAGAACCTAATGTATGTCCTTTATCAAATAAAGAGGTTTGAGACGTCCATTCAATGAGCATTTTTTTATCCCTGTGCAGGATTTCATATACTTGTGCTTCGGTTTTACGTCTCAAATTTGAGATTACTATCAAGATATGGGTGAACTTACTCTAGTATCATTTCCGCAATTCTAAATCGAACTGAATATGCAGCTATCCTGTCACAATCCTGCATAAAAATATCGTCGGACCAAGTTAAAGGAGTACGAAAGCTGATGGTGACATCCAGCCACGTTCTCTTTAAAAAAGGGAAAGAGACTACCATAGTAAGTTTCTAATTCATGTGGATTGTAGTGGCCTGCACTCGTAAGAACATAGGTTGTTTTAATCGAATCAGCGTGTAGCCTTGGTCTGTCATCAGTGTTTGTTTGGCAGCACCCTCCTACAAAGTGCGATCTTCAGGTTTAGAGACATGGAGGAAATGTTAAGCTTTTGTTCTTAGACCTATAACAACTTTCGTCATTTTGACCTTCTCCTCGCATTCTGTTCGTTCCAAGGCATGGAGTCTTAAGGTGGGCATGAAGACAAGGTGTCATTTTAAATTCACCGCATAAGCGGAACTGGATGATAAATGTCAAATCGTTATTTATTACTCCATATTTTTTAAACAATGTTTTTAAAAACTCGATAGACTGCATCGTAGAAAGGATGTTTATGAATGCAAAAAAACATTTCAAACGTTAGATTTATTTTTTCATTATTCTGCGCTTCCATTCCCGTATAGCAGTACATCATTAGAAATAGGAACAACAGAAAAAGTTACATCTTTATTCGGTAGACGCCAATGACGCAGAGTTTTTTTAATGCAGAGGGTTGTTTACTGGCGCCAGGTCGATAACTCGATTTGTGGAATTTCTACTCGAGATCCAAGATAGGAATCGTCAACAAATTGCGCCGATGCTCCACCAGTCTTCTAATTCACTCATTCAGACACACGGTACTCGAATACTTGCGTCCATGCGTAATGTTTTTTTTTAATATTTCAGCTCCTTATCTGTTTGATTCTCGGTATAATCCTCTGGACGTTGCTAGCAGCCCTGCTCGCCTATCCCATCACCAGTATGTCTCTTCTTCTCTACCGTGATATGGGTCCCACCCGCGTTAATTCGAGGACTCGCATGGGTACCGAAGTTGTTGCCCGCCCTCTCCGCACTGCTCGCCAGGCAAGCGCGGAGTCTGGTGGTCCAGATTTCCAGCCGAGAATACCGCCTTATGGCCGACCTATGTCTCCTATCAAACCCATAGGGATGCCTCCCTCAGAAGACCATCTACGAAAACTCGACAGGAGTTTGAGTCCAATCCCCAACCCACATGATTTAATTTCGCAGTACTTTCAGTGCTCAGCGCTCTCCGTTGACCTGTCCTACTACGGTAAGTGTGCAATCTACTCGCTATTCAACAACTTTTCACGGGTAGAAAAAAAAGGACTTTTGACTATTTAGGGCTGCATCACCAAAGATGAAAAATAGGTAAATAATATGGCATTTTAAGGTGTCGTCTGCTCCTACCATGTAGATTTACCAATGACCCTCTCCATATCAATTGAATTGCAGCAAACAGTCGAAAACTTTATTACAGGCCGCAGAGAGCAGTTGTTGTAAGGCTGTGAGTCTGTCAACATATGTCAAGGTGGCATTTGTCGGATGGCATACCGGCCCCATATACAACAGCATTCAGCATTTTAAAAGTAGAATTGCACAGGCACGCTCAAACTGAGCATCTGGCCCGAACAATTATCGAAAAGAATTATTGCATAGGATCGCATATCTTTCAATATACTTAAGTGACCATTTGCAGATTCTCACTCGTTTCTCCATTACTTGACGCTTCCCGATGATAAGAATGCTATAGCATAGCGAAATTAAACTGTACCCTGGCAGCAAAAGAGAAAGTGATGATCCATGAAGTAGAGCAACATTACGAGGGTATTAGCAATTAATGTACGATGTGTTAGAAGGCTTTTTTTATATGCCAATGGTTTGGCCAACTCGCCTGCCAAAGATGTCTGACGGAATTGTGTAGTTCATCAAAATCACATTCAGTGCTTGATGTTAAGTTGAGTATTGAGGGTTTTGACGGTAGACAGAGAGCGATCTGATTAGGGAGAATGCTCGGCAGGTTTTGCATTGGAGCTCAATGTGGAGCCCCCGCAGTTGTCAGTTCAACTCCAGAAAATAATAAAAGTTGCTATGCGACCGACTACGACGGCCTTAGATGGAGTTTCTGGGAACAATTGGACAAGCCTGTTGCCTAACCATGTCGGTATGTGACCTACTATAATCATCTATCCGATCGCAGCTGAAAAAAAAACTGGTTATTGACAAATGGGGCGTGCAATCAAATCTCGGGTTATCAACACTTATTGTTGGGTATGACTAACTGATGATGGCCTATGAGCCAGAAATGACCATTCCACTCTCCCCTATCTTCGTCGGTTCCGAGCCGATATATAATTACAGGGGTAGTCCACTTCTCGCTTAGTTGCACATAGACAATAGTTGCAGCAGATTTGAAAGTTGTGGCAGCAGAATACAAAGAACACGAGAAACGTTTTATAAACAAAGTAAAAAAGTTTTATCGTCTGGGTTTTCGCAAGCGTTTTCCACCAATGAAAACATATCGACTTCTGAATCCTGGTTATCAGTGAGCCTAAACAACGAGGAAAAATGTGTCACATAAAAAGAAGATAATATTTAAGATAAAATATAAGTAAACAAATAGTCGTGTCCGTCCTGTGGGATTTCCTTACTTCTTAACTTCTCCCAAACATTTTCAAATGAAGTCTAGCGTAGTTTAAATTTGACTGTTTGCCTGTTGATCTGGTTCGTCAGCAAACGCGTTGGCGAATTATTTCAACATGGGTTGAAAAAAACGAATATGAAAAGAACATATCTGATAATCATTTGCCAAGCCGATGTACCGTTATTTACAATATCTGACGTTATTTATTATGGTTCAGTAGACGATATTTACATAACATGACGGCCATTGGTACGTCATGAATACTGTCAGAAGCACTCATATGCAATTTGTTTATATTAAAGGACTCTACGATGACAAAGGATACCCACTTACAATCACGAGCATGAACTTGAACCTCCGAATACGAAACACAATGATATTTTCCTCATTGTCGTTTGTGGGGAATCTCTTCGTTCTGTTTGGTTATGTGAGTGTAATATTTCCGAAGAGGAAGTATTTCCTGCAATAACCAATGAAACTCTCTTCCTTTAATATCCTGGACCAGATTTTAGAAATATTTGTTACCCACATTTATCGCAATATGACTACTTTTCGCGCAAAAGATTACTGATTGTTTTTCAATCATGGGATATTTTCCCGTTCGGATGAGTAAATATTAACATACTTAAGAGGGTAACCTGTAAACTGTGTCCTCTCAGCATCAGTTTTGAAATCAAACATGATTTAAGCATCGACCTTGTTGCCTATGTGTGCAAGGCTATTTTTGCGTATTTTTATATACCGCTATAGAGGACGAACATCAAACGTTCGATCGTCCTGTTCAGTGCATATAGAGAATAAGCATTAAATATGCCGTTAACGCAGTCTGTTGCATTAGCAGAAGAAAAATCATACAGTCAGGGATTTTCTGACAACATTCCAGTATATATTTGCTTGATCAGCTATAATTCATGCCCTTAATTTATGATTTAGCATTATTAAGAGTTAGTTGATAAGAAGTATAAACATTTATAGAAACAGAATATCTCACTGCCGCTGTTCTATTTATAATAGATCCAATTTTATGAAAAGACAGACAGTGGTCAGCTTTGTTCAAACTATTCCCTTGTTCTGTCTGTGCCTTTATCCATGGAACATGATGAAGTAAATTAACATTAGTCAACAGTTGTAAACTAAGATACAGTTTTATCTATCCACCTGGCTTATTCCTGAAAATAGCTTTTTCGCATGAACAATATGTGAAGTAATCATTTTGTCAGTGAAAACCCATGTTAACTTGATTGCTGGTGTTGTTAGACTAAAAGGTGTTAGAAACTATGTTTGTGCATTAAAGCGTACTTTTCTATTAAAATTGGATAATTTTAACTCGATAAGTTTAATAAATGGAGGTTGTCACGCCTCAAAACATTATTTTTGAAAACTTTAATCAGATAAAGTAAGATGAAAGTTAACAGATTATATGTGACACATCAGACGTGGGCAGTAGGATTTCGTAACACCTTTTAATCCGCAATCCGTCTTTGCATGACACAGATAAAGAATGGAAGTACACAACAATTTGAATTTTCCCTATTTGTATCCATTGGCATCAATTTGCATGAATCTGCACGCTACTTCTGTGTGAATTCACGTGGACTTGCGGATGCAAGCACAGTATCTGAGCGCAAAGGGAATGGGTATCCAGGGCAACCGAGTATTTGCCTAATCGGCCTTTCAGGCAAGAAAGTGTGATGCCGCAATCCTTGAGTATAAAACGTCTGCTAGACAGTGTTGACTTAAAAACAGATTTTCAACCATTTGTTTGAGCACAAACAAATTTAACTCCGCGCTACAAAAAAACAGTCCATATACTATGGAAGAAACAAAACCTATGTAAGCAGTTGGACGATGTGGCCAATGTCCAATTGCCCCGATAATCTCGGGTCTATAGTAAATCACATTGTGTTTTGTGTTAACTTCCTTCCCCACTTCCCTCCTGTATTCAGATTTATAGGCAGCATCAGTATTTATTATTCTCCAAGTTAAAAACGACCTTGCTGTTATGTATTAATATCTGGGAAAATTGGAATTGCTATGTGTTTCCGTTCGTTACCTATGACATGCGAAAACGGGTTGTAGTTAAAAAGTCGACACTGACGTCTTTGACCCCAAAAAGTTCTGCGGTCTACGCCTTTTTTACAAATTCATATTTCCAACTGCGTGTGTGCTTTGCTACCCTTAAACGCAATAATAAATTCTACTGGCAATACGTTGTTGAAACGTGCCGATATGTTTCTGCCCACCCTAGATTCTCAATAATATAC